AACATTCAACAAAAGTCGTTTCTAGCGACTACCCATCGATTTATCGGAAAACATTCCCCTTCTTAATGGATTCTTGTGATTTCTTTTTGAAATTGCTGTTGATAATTGTCTCTCAACTTGATTTATATTGAGATCACAACATTGATTGGAAATTGATTGATTGGATTTTGCATAAACACTAATATGAGTAGCATAACTATAATAAATTATACAGTATTGGTGTTTGAAACAACTGGAAACTGCATACTTTTACTCACCTGCAATCGAAGAATGTAATTTTTCGTTCATTGCAGTTCGTAATACATTGTAAGTTTTAAAGTTCTTTAGCAATGTAACAATTGAATTCCGATTTAACCCACATCAATCAATTAAAGAGTCTTGCGGGTCTACCCGACGATGCAAATGCTGCTAGATATGTCAACACCAACAGAGAAGCTCAAATTTCAGTTCAATTTTTATTTTCATTACAACAAACTGGACTAATTTTGTTAGACTTTAAAAACTTTTTGCTCCAATAGTTAAGTGAATATTTTCATTTGAATTACGGCTTTTTTCCTATGAAATTTCATTTTTCTGTTTGGTAAAAGCTGTTAATCAGATTGGCAGAAGAAAATGGACCAAGGATCTACAACTAGTCTAACGCAATTAAATGACGATTGCTTGGTTGTTTGAAGTTTGTGCTGCAAAAGAATGAAGAAGAAGGAGGCAATTTAAAACCATTGCAAAAATCTCGAGGAAATTGTGATGCAGCTAAATCGTTTCTGTCTTACTGGCCGACCATTGATCTTCTCTGTCATACAATCAAGCAATTCGTTGAAACTCTTTATTTATTACAATCATTCATTAAATCGAAAAGAGCAAATTATCATAGAATACATTCAAAACATAATCAAAAGTTTGTGTATTACACTTGATACATTTGGAAACTGCATCATTAGACCATTTCATCATAGATGACTATGAATCTTACATTTGTATTAAATATGAAAATATTAACAAAGAACAATAAAAATAAGTTTATGTATTAATAACTTTGATTTCAAATTTTTATTTACATGAACATCATTTAATGAATAATGAATTGAAGTTAATGAAAAGCATTGATTCAATTTCTATGGACTTTTATCACTTTCCATTGCCTAAAATCAACGCTCAAAAAATTAATCCAATCAGTTTTCGTTATTGATTCCTTTTGAAAATTATTGATTTTTCGTACTATGAAATTATCCAATATTTCACTCCAAGAACGATCTTGTGTTGACTGTTATAAGCATTAAAGTTGATGCATTTTCCAATAGAAACTGATAGGTAAAATAATACTTTAAAATTAAGATCTTTTCATCAGGAATCACTTAATCCCAATACTCACAATGACGAAAAAATATTTAGAAATGGTCGCCAGATCTCCTGCTTTCACTCCATTGTATGGTCCAATTATCCTGTCCATAACTTCAAGTATCTTAAATAACAGTTGAAATGAAATTGTGGTAAGTTTTGTTCCCTTAAATGCTTTGCATTATTTACCTTCATCTTTGTTTTCATTTTCAATCTCGACTCGCTAATTAAATGAAGTTTTTCATACAATAAATGAAGCTGAAAAGTAAAATAATATTAGCGATAGTTATGTTCAAATATCAATCTTATATTAAAGATTGTTGATTATTAAACTATTTTAGTACTTTTGTAAGGAATGATCCTTCAGTGTAGCATGCCATGGCTAACAGACCCATGATGAAGACACCAAGGAAACTGCACATGTTGGCAATAATATCTGAATGAACCCTCGCGAAACCAGCAAAGATGAGTAAATCAGCGAGAAAAGAAATAGCCAGAATATAATACAAAATAAGAAATGATAAAACATTGAGAAAATGCTCAACGTCATTTGAATGGCCAATAAACCTCAAAATCAAAGATGTAACAAACTCATCTTCGATTTCTCTGCTCTTATTAGTTGTATGAACAGCAATGGAACAAATAGACTTTAAACGATTCAAGTAGTAGAGTCCGGACATTATAACGTAACCACTTATACTGGCGAAACCAACAATATTATAAACAAAAGCAAATGTAAATGGAATGGTCCAAAAGATACTGAAAATAGCATAACTCGGAATCTGGTAGAAGAATGGATTTACAATAATTGTTGTGTTCAATAAGATAGTCAAGAAAGGAATAACAAAGCACATGAAACGCGTCCAGAAAATGGAAAAAAAGTGAACTATGTATCGATGAGTAATAGCTCGAGACGGAGTCATCTGTAGATTTAAATGATTAAAATCATTGCTTTGAAGAAAGCATTCGAAACAAAAATATATTTCTGTATTTGATTTTGCCTCGAGTGACAAGAAAATTTCTCGAGAAAAAAAGCCAATGACCAATGCAATAAATACTATGGACATTGCAAGGACTCGATGTTTAGAACGAAATAAAGGATCTCCGGCGAAAATCGAGACAGTTTCGTTTTCATAGAGAAGCAAAACAAGCAGGCGAATCATGCTTATGATGTTACAAAAACGAATCAAAAAATTTTTTCGGTTAAAAGAAGAAATTCTATTTGGAGTAGCTGAAGAATAACGTTTATAGCCATTTATTGTTGACCCAAACAATCTTGAAAGTCGACACCATTGATTGAATGCGGCAATAGTTTCCTCTCCATGATCATCTTCATTAGGTAAACCAACGATGAAGAGAACAGTTTTGATGAAAACATTTTTAGCAAAATTCAGGTTGACCATGATTGCCTTCTGCCAACGAACCTTTTTCATTTCATTAAATGTCTGGTTTCACATTGAGAATGCATTATTTTTGCACCGACAAAGAAACTTTTGCATCTAAACAACAACTCCAAGGTTCGTGATATCTTTGTTTGTAGGTTTAATGTTTTGCATTATAAAATAATAATAACAATTACAGCTAAATATTAAGAGATAGAAGCTGAAGCAAAAGAGAACATTAAATATGGTTTATTGTTTAAAATTTGTTCAAAAGAAACTTTCATAAGTTTAAATCAGAGGCAAAAATTACAGGCGAATGTTATCTTTTTCATATCATTATTTCATAATAGAAATTGAGTTTCAACATAAACACTCAACAAACGTCGTTTCTGACGACTACCTATCGATTTATCGGAAAACATTCCCCTTCTTAATGAATCCTTGTGATTGTTTTCGAAATTTTTGTTGAAAATTGTCTCTTAACTTGATTTATATTGAGATCACAACATTGATTGGAAATTGATTTTGCATCAACACTAATATGAATAACATAATTATAATAAAGCATACAGTATTGGAAACTGTTGAATACTTTAGCGCACTTGTCAGCAATCGAATAATGTAATTTTATAATTATACGTTTATTACAGTCCGTCATACATTCTAAGTTTTAAAGTTCTTTAGCAATGCATCAATTTTACTCCAAATTAACCCACATCAACCAATTAAAGAGTCTTGTGGGTCTACCTGATGATGAAGATGCTGCTCGACATGCCAACCAATTGATCGATACGATGGAAACAACTGCTCGTGGTTTGCTGGTCACCAAACGAGGCTATGAACAATACATGCGAGACTTTTGTTACGAAGGTTATGCTTGGAAAAATAACCTTGTTCGATGTGTGATTGTAGTAACCATCATTCGACTAGCAGTTCTTTTGGTTTATTATGACAATGAATTGGTCAGTTTAGTTCTTGCCGATCCTATTGGAGACAAATCAGTTGGTTTTATTCTTATTGCTTTTGCAGAATCCATTTTGTGTACTTTATCGTTACTCCGAAATAGTTTAATAGTTTTGATTACTTTAAAAATGCGAAATGGAAGAGTTTTTGAGGACAAATTGTTTGCTCAAATGACTATACTTTGGACAGTTAGTGAAATAGTAGTTGCTCGTTTCGTAGTGACTGGCTTTTTAAACACAGGAGGTCATTTGAACATTTTATTTCCATGGTACATCGGCAGAATCAATACGCTCATTGAAATGTGCAAAGACTTACTGCAATTACCGAGAATCAGAACCGAACAATTGATTGAATTGAATAGAATGACAATCCATTTCCTCCATTCTTGGCTATAGCAGCACCATTGCCTGATAAAATGAAATATTTATTAATTTCCATTGGACTAATAGGATTGACCATCATTGGTAATGTTTATTATTCAGCTGGAGGGATTGTCGACATGGTCAATATGTTTACCTTTTCGCCAAAAGAGTCTTAAGGGTAACATTCATCTTGTTATGTGTATTTATTAATAGTTCAACCAAATTCGCGGTCTTTTCATACAAAAAATACTCAGAAAATTATTTTAAGTTAGAGAGTAAACTCAAAGGACTTCTTATATTCAAAATTACAAGAAGAAAATGGACCGATGTTCTACAACTAGTCTAACCCAATTAAATGTCAAATTCTATGTCATACAATCAAGCAATTAGTTGAAACTCTTTATTGAGCACATTCATTCGTTTGATCAGAAAGAGCAAATCACCATAGAATACATTCAAAAACATAATTAAAAGTTTGCACTTGAAACATTTGGAAACTGCATCACTAGACACATCATGGATGACCATGAATCTTGCATTTGTATCAAACATGAAAATATTAACAAAGAACCTTTTATGTATCAATAAACTTGATTTCAAATTTTTATTTACAAGAACATCATTTAATGACTAATGAATCGAAGTCAATAAAAGGCATTGATTCAACTTCTATGGACTTTTATCACTTTCCATTGCCTAAAATCAAGCCTCACAAAATTAATTCAATCAGCGTCCATTATTGATTCTTATTGAAAATTATTGATTTTTCGTAATATGAGATTACCAATATTTCACTCCAACAGTGATCTTGTGTTGACTGTTATAAGCATTAAAGTTGATGCATTTTCCAATATAAACTAATGAGTAAAATAATACTTTAATATCAAGGTCTTTTCATTGAGAGTCACTTGATTATTCTAATACTCACGATAACGAAAAAATATTTAGAAATGGTCGCCAAATCTCCTGCTTTTACTCCATTGTATGGTCCAATTATTCTGTCCATAACTTCCAGTATCTTAAATAAAATGAAATTGAAATATAATAGTTATTGTGTCTTTGAATGCTTTGCATTATTTACCTTCATCTTTGTTTTCATTTTTAATCTTGATTCGCTAATTAAATGAAGTTTTCTATACAATAAATAGAGCTGAAAAGAACAAAATATGTGATATTAATTCTCATCTTATATTACAGATTGCTGATTATTTAACTATTTTCTTTACTTTTGTAAGGAATGATCCTTCAGTGTAGCATGCCATGGCTAAAAGACCCATGATAAAGACACCAAGGAAACTGCACATGTTGGCAATGATATCTGAATGGAGTCTCGCTATGAAACCAGCAAAGATGAGCAAATCAGCGAGAAAAGAAATAGCCAGAATATAATACAAAATAAGAAATGCTAAAACATTGAGAAAGTGATCAACGTCATTTGAATGGCTAATGAACCGCAAAATCAAAGATGTAACAAACTCATCTTCAATTTCTCTGCTCTTATTAGTTGTATGAACAGCAATGGAACAAATAGACTCAAGTCTATTCAAGTAGTAGAGTCCGGACATTATACAGAAACCACTTATACTGGCGAAGCCAACGATGTTATAAACAAAAGCGAATGTAAATGGAATGGTCCAAAAGATACTGAAAATAGTATAAATTGGAATCTGATAAAAGAATGGGTTTACAAGAATTGATGTATTCAATAAGATTGTCAAGAAAGGAATAACAAAGCACATGAAACGCGTCCAGAATATTGAAAAAAAGTGAACTATGTATCGATGAGTAATAGCTCGAGAAGAAGTCATCTGTAGATTTAAATGATTGAAACCATTGCTTTGGAGAAAGCATTCGAAACAAAAATAAATTTCATCACTGGATTTTGCTTCAAGTGACAAGAAAATTTCTCGAGAAAAAAAGCCAGTGACCAATCCAATGAACATTATGGAAATTGCAAGGACGCGCTGTTTAGAACGGAATACAGGATCTCCGGCGAAAGTCGAGACAGTTTCGTTTTCATAGAGAAGCAAAACAAGCAGGCGAATCATGCTTATGATGTTACAAAAACGAACCACAAAATTTTTTCGGTTAAAAGAAGAAATTGTATTTGGAGTAGCTGAAGAATAACGTTTATAGCCATTCATTGTTGACCCAAACAATCTTGAAAGTCGACACCATTGATTGAATGCGGCAATAGTTTCCTCTCCATGATCATCTTCATTAGGTAAACCAACGATGAAGAGAACAGTTTTGATGAAAACATTTTTAACAAAAGCCAGTTTGATCATGATTGCCTTATGCCAACCAACCATATATTAAAATATGAATCAGGAAAAACAATCCTGCTTTAAATTGAATGAAATGTAAATCTATATGCATTTATTCCCGTCAATACTTGACAATGTTTAGACAAACAATATAAGTCTAGTAACAAAAATTTTTAACAAAATTTAAAACTCAAGCTCAATTGATTTCATTGAAAAACAATTATTCCACTGCCAGTAATCTACAAGATCAATATCTGATTTCTGATTTCATTAAATGTCTAGATGCACATTGCGAATGCTTATTCAGACTCATCATATTAACCAAACAGTTCCATTATTATTTCCATAACAAAGAACTTTTGAATCAAAACAATTTCAAGGTTCGTTAAGGTGCAATTTTCTTGCAATGAAATAATAGCAGTTGTAGCTAAATATTGAGAGATCGAACCTGCAGCAAATGATAAGTTAAATATTGTAAAGAACAGTTTTGCTGAAGCTTAAGTTGATTGATGAACACTGAAACCCTTAGACTTGGCGGTAACAGTCTAGTTACACGGACACAAGTCGTAACTAGCAAGACTTTTAAATCAGTAACCAAGCAAGACAATCTGGTTAAATTTAAATAAATATTCAATAAATGTAAAAATTGAGAATAAGAAATCGTGAGAAAACGCTGTTCAGAGCGAAATAAAAGATCTCCGCCAAAAATCGAGACGGCTTCGTTTTCATAGAGAAGCAAAATAAACATGCAAATTATGCTTATGATGTGGCAAAAACGAATCAAAACATTTTTTTGGTGAAAAGAAGTGATTGCATTTGCAGAAGAATAACGTTTTTTGACATTCATTGTTGACCCAAAGAATAAGGAAAGCCGACACCATTGATTAAATGAAGCAATAGTTTACTCTTCATTAGATAGACCAACGATGAAGAGGACAGTTTTAATGAAAACATGTGTAATGAAAGCCAAGTTGACCATGATTGCTCTGTAACCACTAATTAAAATATGAATAAGGAAAAATAAAACTGTGAATTTGAATTGAATAAAAAAATGCCTTTTATCCACTTGACAATATTGCAAACAAACAATATGCGAAGCAAAACATCAAAAATTTTAACATTTAAAACTTAAGCTCGATTGTTTTCATACAAAAACAATCATTTCACTGCAATTAATCTATAAGTTCATCAATTTTTGATTTTTCATTTCATTAAATGTCTACATTGACAATACTTTTTCAGACTCATTATTCAAACTTATTCAATTTCATTATTTCCTCAATTTGCTTGAAGAAAGTTCGGAAAAGTGGTATTTGATCAAAAGTCGATTGCGAAAATTGTTAAATTGTTCAGTTAATTCGTTGAAATTTGTAAGTTTAAAGCTGCAAAAATTGCAGATCAATATTTACTCTTCTCATTTCATGATTTGATAATACAAACTCATTTTTTGGTAGCATTCAACAAAATTCGTTTCTATTATTTATATTTTCTAATATGTTTCTAGAATCTATCGACCTGCTGAAAATCATTCTCTGTTTTAATGTATGATCCTGATTGTTTCGACTTTTTCAATCATTAATTTTCTTCAAGATTGAATAAATCCAAATTTAATCACATTGATCACAATAGTTTTTCATTGATTCGTAGATCTCTTTACTTGAAGCATTTACATACAATCTTTACAAATTGATTTTCAGTTAAACTTGAAACAGAACTCCAAACTTCTAAATTAAAGCCCGATTTGATGAAGACTCATTTGCACTAACCTGTTCCCAAGAAAGTAAAACACAGGAGATGGAAACGCGTAAAGTAATTGAAACATTATATAATAATACTACAATATTTATAAATAATACAGGTGTTGAAAATCGTCTCTTGATTTATATTGAAATCACAAAATTGATTGAAAATTGATTTCCAATCAATACTTGACACGCTAATGTGAATGAAGTTAGTATTATAAATCAAACAGTAAAATTCTTCTTTGGAACGATTGAGCTTCGCCTTTGTTGAATACTTTCACTCAGCAAAAGGAGAATGAAATTCTATTAATTTTTCGTTTATTGCAGTTCGTTAAAAGTTTCAAAGTTTTTTAAAAATGCATCGTTTGAATTCCAAATTGACCATTAAGCGATTGAAGAGTGCTGTGGGTCTACCTGACGATGAAGATGTTGCTCGACATGTCAACCAATTGATCGGTACAATGGAAACAACTGCTCGTGGTTTGCTGGTCACCAAACGAGGCTATGAACAAGTAATGCGAGACTTTTGTTACGAAGGTTATACTTGGAAAAATAACCTTGTTCGATGTGTGATTGTAATAACCATCATTCGACTAGCCTTTCTTTCGGTTTATTATGACAATGAATTGGTCAGTTTAGTTCTTGCCGATCCTATTGGAGAAAAATCAGTTGGCTTTATTCTTATTGCTTTTGCAGAGTTGATTTTGTGTACTTTATCGTTACGTCGAGAATACGCATTGTACTTGATCATTTTATTTCCCTGGTATATCGGCAGGACCAATACGCTAATCCGAAAGTTATTTTAGGTTAGAGATTAAACTCAAAGGACTTCTTACATTCAAAATTGTCAGAAGAAAATGGACCGACGATCTACAAGATCTCGAGGAAATAAATTAGGATGAAGCTAAATCATTTCTGTCTTCTTTGCCAAGCATTGATCTTCTCTGTCACACAATCGACCATCCGTTGAAACTCTCTATCTTTCATCGGAAAGAGCAAATTATCATAAATTTTATTCAAAAACACAACAATCAAAAGTTTGCATATTTCACTTAAAACTTTGTATCGTTAGACCATTTCATCGTAGATGACCATTTACGAATTTTGAATTTGTATTGAAAATATTAACAAAGAACAATAAAAATAAGTTTATGTATTAATCACCTTGATTTCAAATTTTTATTTAAAAGAACATCATTTAATGACTAATGAATAGAAGTTAATGAAAGGCATTGTTCCAATTTCTATGGATTTCTATCACTTTCCATTGCCTAAAATCAAAATTAATTCAATCAGCGTCCATTATTGATTCTTATTGCAAATTATTGATTTCTCGTACTAGGAGATTACCAATATTTCACTCCAAGAGCGATCTTGTGTTGACTGTTATAAGCATTAAAGTTGATGCGTTTTCCAATAGAAACTAATGAGTAAAATAATACTTTAATATTAAGGTTCTTTCATAAAGTGACCCTTGATCATTTGAATACTCACAATGACAAAAAAATGTTTAGAGATGGTCGCCAAATCTCCTGCTTTCACTCCATTGTATGGTCCAATTATCCTGTCCATAACTTCCAGTATCTTGAATAAAATGAAATTGAAATAAGTTCTGTTCCGTTAAATGTTCAAATTATTTACCTTCATCTTTGTTTTCATTTTCAATCTCGACTCGCTAATTAAATGAAGCTTTTCATACAATAAATGAAGCTGAAAAGTAAAATACAAGTATTATAATATTATCAATAGTTATGTTAAAAATATCATATATTAACGATTAAATAATTTCTTTACTTTTGTAAGGAATGATCCTTCAGTGTAGCATGCCATGGCTAAAAGACCCATGATGAAGACACCAAGGAAACTGCACATGTTGGCAATGATATCTGAATGGAGTCTCGCGATGAAACCAGCAAAAATGAGCAAATTACCGATGAAAGAAACTGCCAGAATATAATACAAAATAAGAAATGCTAAAACATTGAGAAAGTGATCAACGTCGTTTGAATGGCCAATGAACCTCAAAATTAAAGAGATTACAAACTTGTCTTCGATTTCTCTGTCTTTTTCAGTTATATGAACAGCAGTGGAACAGATAGACTCAAGTCGATTCAAGTAGTAGAGTCCAGACATTATAACGTAGCCACTTATACTGGCAAAACCCACAATATTAAAAATAGCAGCAAGTGTTAATGGAATGGACCAAAATATGCTGAAAATGGTATAACTTGGAATCTGGTAAAAGTATGGATTTACAATAATTGTTGTGTTCAATAAGATTGTCAAGAAAGGAATACATAAACACATGAAGCGCATCCAGAATATGGAAAAAAAGTGCACAATA